ACCCTGAACTTAGTGTTTGGCTCTCTTACCTCACAAACCCACTTTCCGGTATTCCTCCGTCTGACTCCCCGGTAAACCGGGTGTCTGGTCTCCTTGAACTTCTTCCTTCCGGCTCTTTTCTTGGGATTATGTTCAGCAAGCATCACCTGTTCTTGTTCTACGTAACAGTCACCACCGGCTGTGCTGCTTTTGCTATCAGAGTTAGTATCTTCCATTGACAGTCCAGCTGGAAATTGAAAAGAGTTCATATATAGTAAATCTGTTTGTTGGTATTTTCCAGTTTAAGGTTCGAGTTGGAGGTTGTGTTTGTTTGTATTATGGGAACGTGGTGGTATGTATATATAGTGATATATGTGAGTGTGTAGAGGGGTTAAGTTGTAGGGAAGGAAAGGAGGCAGCTGGATTTAGGGGGTGGAGTAAGCAAGAGTAAGCCGAGTAAGAAGTGGGTCCACTTGGATTGCCACGCGTGATCCAATAATGTGACGTGGATCATATTTTCCAAATATTTTTTTTAACTCTTTCCAACAAATTAATTAAATTTCAAAGTACTACAAATTTAATTATTTAAATTTCAAAACATTAAGTTGTTAGTAATAAACAAATTAGTAATTGCCCACTCAATTGGATGGATACCTCTAATGCAACCATTTTGAAGAAATAGTAGCTAGGCATCGGATATCCTCCTTTTAACGTTACTTTAACATAATGGTTTTCATTTACCAACCCGATTGCAATAGAACTATGTTTAGTCTAATGTGTAGGTGTAGACCGAAGCGATAAGTATGTGGAGCCTCCTGTGCTGTTCAAAACATGTAGGGTGCGTTTAGTATGCAGACTATATGGGACGAGACGAGACAAAAAAAAAATAGTCTCATGTTTGACATGTCATGGACAAAAAATACATGGGACAAGATGATACTATTTTTAAATTTCATGGGACAACCTCCTTCATCATCCTCTTTTCCACATCGGCTTCTTCCACATCGATATGATTTCTCCCTCTCGTACAATTTTGTTTTGCAATTGGTATGATTTTGTTTTGCGTTTCTTCCACATCAGTACGATTTTGTTTTCCAAATCGTACACAGGCAACATCTTGTTTATTCCTCTTTTGGTTGTGAATGTTGGTGCATTCCTTGCCCACAACACAATCACAAAACAAAAACAAAAGCACAACAGGCAGCATCTTCAACAGCATAAAGACTTCCATTGTGTTTTGAAGAAATATGAACACTTGGATAGCTTATATAAGAAATCACCAGACCCTATTATTGAATATTAGACCTCCGATTGTTTAGAGCCTGCGTATGATTCTGTTTTGTTCTACATATAGGTATCTCCAAAAGGGAGCATATCATTGTGATATTCATCTCCATTAAAAAGATAAACTTACCATTCTCAATTCATTGTCAACGATTTGGCATACTACCTAAGGTTCACCGGAGTTCTTTAATAAGAGTGCTTTACATCAAAAATGTACTAGAGTTGTAATGGTTTATAATTCCATAATGGGTCATTGTTTGTTGAAAGATGTATCTTGGGTCATTGTTTATTGAAAAATGCATATAAAAAATGTATCTTAGGTCATTGTTTTAACTATGTTTGTTACTTTGTTTTGTGCTATTTGTAGAGATGGACCGGAATCACTTGCTTGTGCTCGTTAACGTATGGAATAATTACATTCAAATGCTCATTTATTTGTTTTCCCTTACACTCTGGTTAATTGAATTGGAGAATAAAAATAGTGAAAGAGAAACTTTAGGTCAAAGAACTTTCACTAGACTTCAAATTAGATCAACCGAAATACAACGTATTACACAAGAAAGTGACGTAAATTGTATAAATGAGTTGCGAATGGATAGAAATGYTTTTGCAGTTTTGTGTGATTTGCTTAAAACTCGTGGTGGATTAAAAGATGATGGTAATATGACAATCGAGGAGCAAGTTGCTATATTTATGTGGTCTTGGAATGTTAAAAAAATGTGGGTTGAATAACATGTCAAAATGGGTAATATTTAAGTGCGATTGCCGGGTGGGCTCGTCAACCCCCTTTTGTCATTTTTTGGATTTATATTTAATGTATAAAACTTGATTATAAAAACTATGTAATTAAAATATATTTTGGTTGATTTGTTGCCATTTTACAATCATTATATGATATAAAATAACATTAAACAACATTTAAGGGTAATATGGTCTTTTTAACAGTTTTGTCATGTTCTGTCCTAGTCGTACCAAACTTGGGACAGACAATTAGTCATGTCCCGTCCCGTCCTGTCCCGTCCCGTTCTGTCATGTCCTATCCAGTCTGCGTAATGAACACTACCGTATTATCCGGTCATACCTCGAAGCAGCTAGTACAGCCATCTCAGCCATAATCCACCAATAATCACTTGGTGCAAATGTGTTTCCGTAAAACCAACTCAACGATGCTTCAACTTGGGCCCAACTATAAGAGTTAAACATCACTTCATATTTTGTTTTATATATATATATATATATATGCAAGTCTTCTAGTAATTCACGCCAAATATTAGGCCAGACATAAAATGAAGATGAAATATCATAACCAATAAGGCATATAGACATGATAATTTTTTTGCAATATATATAATGTTTTAAACCTTATATACGATGATTCACTTTCATTAATCATAAAAGCAAATGCGATGCAAAATGTCATATTCACCGATGTTACACCCACAATCTCACCAAGAGGCATCTCATACTTATTCGTTTTATACGTCGCATCTATCAACACTACATGGGGAAAGCACGCCATAGATCCAAAGATATTGGACGAGCGAAGAATAAATCTTCCAATTTCATTCGTCAAACTATTGACTCGAGTATGATAAAAGTAATTTTCTCAAACTAAAAATGACATAAGGATCTGCATCTGAGTTCTACCAGATTTCTCTGTACTTCGAGATTTATTGCGAGCATTGTAAATGGTTCTAATATGGAGGCATTATCCGAATTTTGATTCTTTAGGGTGGATAAGATGTCTCGTGGTTTGACATGATTCATTCATATATCATCCACTAACTGAGCTTCATTTGCAGACAATCGGGTTGCATATGAATGACCTCCTAGATCGAATGTTGGTACATGATTATGTGTCTTGCATTGCCCCTTTATTGTCCAACACCAATCCAAATGGACAATTCATTTTCCTACTTCCAGTATGTCTACTTGATATTTTATCGCTTTTGTACATGTTATTGCCATCACATTAAAAAAAAAAAACCTTTTCATCACTCCACTCGGTTTATTGGATCGTTTAATCACTATAAGGTAACCAAGAGAGCGTCCTTTGTTTTGAACCCAATCAACTAATTTCTCACGGGATGAGAAAATCTTAAATATTTAAATTAACAAAATATCAATACATAAAAACAAATAAATAAATAAATAAATAATGTGTAGAGATGTAGGTATGTGGATGAATGAGGTGATTAGAAAGAATGTTTGATTATGTTGGTATACATTTTTAAAAAATTCAAATGTAATACAGACTCATACCCCATGCTTAATCAAGCCATGAACATATGAATACAATAAATTAGCAATTCTTGATTTATGAATATTACTAGTCTGAACCTAAAAGCTCCATAAAGACMCGTCAATTCCACAGTCGHCGTCATCCATTGAGTTACCGTATCCCAACGTATTCGGTGGCGTTACCATCAGTCCCTCTGCCATRCTGGCAAAGAATTCCGGCAATCCAAACATCATCTCTTCATCATTGTATAACGAAATTTCCGGCAACTCTTTCCTTTCCTCCATCTCCGCCGCATCCTCTCTCGGCCGGAACGCCTCTGCTGCCTCAGCCGCCGCCTTCTGTATATCTTTTATATTTCTGGACTCCGGGATCGGAAGCCGCCACACTGAGTCCGCAAAATTCAAACATGCAGAACGGCCCCTCATGGCCAAAACCGCCACGTCATGTGCCCTGGCTGCCATTTCAGCCGTGGGATGCGTCCCCAGCCACACCCTGAACTTAGTGTTTGGCTCTCTKACCTCACAAACCCACTTTCCGGTATTCCTCCGTCTGACTCCCCGGTAAACCGGGTGTCTGGTCTCCTTAAACTTCTTCCTTCCGGCTCTTTTCTTGGGATTATGTTCGGCAAGCATCACCTGTTCTTGTTCTACGTAACAGTCACCACCGGCTGTGCTGCTTTTGCTATCAGAATGAGTATCCTCCATTGACAGTCCAGCTGGAAGTTGAAAAGAGTTCATATATAGTAAATATGTTTGTTGGTATTATCCAGTTTAAGGTTTGAGTTTGAGGTTGTGTTTGTTTTTAGTATGGCAACGTGGTGGTATGTATATATAGTGATATTTGTGAGTGTGAAGAGGGGTTAAGTTGTAGGGAAGGGAAGGGAAGGAGGCAGCTGGGTTTAGGGGGTGGAGTAAGTAAGAGTAAGCCGACAGCCGAGTAAGAAGTGGGTCCCTTTGGATCGCCACGCGTGATCCCAATAATCTGACGTGGATCATATTATCCAAATATTTTTTGAACTCTTTCCAACAAATTAATTAAGTTGCACGTAATGATAAACTACAAAACCAACATGCACCATAGCTTGGCTTGCAAGGTTATGCCATTAATTAACACACTGCATTTGATTTGCAGCATTTAGTTTAAACTTAATTAAGATGCTAATTACGGTTTTTATGTTATCTTATAAAGCTTATAACTTATAATTAAGGAATCTATGTTATCTTATAAAACATATAAACATATAATATATTGAGTATTGCTGATTTATATACAAATTCTAAGAATGTCTTAATTGTTAGTTAACATGTACAACTTAGGTTTGCATTGTATTTTCTTCGTTTATGCTTCCAATGCACTTTTTGCACTATCCATTCCAACATTAATTACTATTTAAAAACCTCTTTATATATCTTCAGGTACTAATTACTTAATTATTATTAATTACTTTTTGTTTTTCTTATTTTATTTACTTGTAATCATTGTTTAATGATTTTTATATTTTATATATTCTCTAAATAAGTATTATTATGGTGGGGTTCATTCAAGAAAGAACCGACTAGTTTGTAGTAATCGTGAGATCCAATCTCAACCACAAATCAATAGATAAATTAGAAAACTTATAATTTTGAAAATTTTGAATTAAAATTTTAATGCAATGACATTTTAGATATTTTATCTCCTCTATTCTCCCTTCTCTCTCCGTCCCCCCTCCTTCTAGCGTTACTTTAACATAATGGTTTCCATTTACAAACGTAACTGCAATAGGAGAATGTTTAGTCCAATGTGTAGGTATAGACCGAAGCGGTAAGTATGTGGAGCCTCCCATGCTGTATAAAACATGTAGTATCCGGTCATACCTTGAAGCAGCTAGTACAACCATCACTTGGTGCAAATGAGTCTTCGTAAAATCTAAGACCTAACCCGCGGAAAATCCAGGGTTTTGGGTGTCCTGTTTTAGCGAGTCTCGGGGTCGGGTATTTGGCATAATTTTGGGTCAGGTTGGGGAGGGTTTTTCAAGTTGGGTGAGGTTTGCTCACCCCTACTTTTATCGTATTACTTCCAAAACAGTCCAAGATAAAGACACCAATGGCTAGAGGTGGCCAGAAATGGTCCCCGACCGGACCGGGTCCAAATTGGTCCCAATTAAATAGTGATCCTATAAATGGTCACGGTCTCGATACAAATACGAAGGTTCGGTTAAGGTGTATGAGGCCCAGTTATGAGAACAAGTCTTGGGCCGGGCCTAAATCGGTCCCACTTAAAAAAAATTAGATTGATTTTTAACGTATAAAAATATTTTTTTGAAGAATTTGGTCAATCAAATACACTAACGAATACATTTTTATTATAATTTGGTCAATAAAATACACTAAAAGCACATTTTGGTTTTCAATCAAATATATATACTATATTATAAAGCATTTGACAAAAACTCTTAAAAACTATTTTTTATGCACGAAGTACTGTACATTGATGCATATTACTTAAAATTTCAGATTACAAGTAAATTATGCACAAGTACAMCTTATTAAAGCTCCATGTTTGAATTCGTGTAACTAACTGCGGATAAACATAATCAAATAGAGGATAAACATCTCATTTTAAAATATAAAAAATCTAAAATATAATTAGGATAATTATCGAGTTCTAACAAAATAATTAATTATTATCTTTATAAGAAAATTATATTATTAAACCAAATATAAATTACTTCATTATTGAACCTAAATTATATTATAAATAAAAAAATTGAATTAAAAATTACACAAAAAATAAGGAAATTTAAATAGTTAATTTGATACTGATATCGATATATTTTTGTCAAAATTTTATGATATTTTCAAATTTATATTTTATTAAAAATAAAAATATCATCGTTTTCTCAAAATCACATAAGACCATATTATAACATCAACTGAGATAAAGAATAAAATGAAATATTAAAATCAAGATGTATCTCGTTGCATTGCACGAGTACCCTTCTAGGACTTAAAAATACATTTTAAGATAAATTTAAAAATATACTTAAAATTACATTAAAAAATAAATGTATAAATAAATATTTAATAAAAAATCGGGCTGATCCCAGACCAAACCGGACCGGGCTTTATTTGCTGTGGAATATCGTAACCGATTAAGGACCACCAGTACCAAACCGATCCCAATTGATCTCGGGCCAGGTCGGTACCAAGTCGGTTCGACTTTCCAGATTGGGCGGGGTACATGATGATGATCACCAATAATGGCCCATGTATGCGCAATAGCATCACACCATCTTTGAGTTTGTATGACACTTTCTATTGCCCCATCCCACATTTAAATCAATAAAGAGCTAATTGGGTAATGACAAAGCCCAAAGAATTTAGATGCCCATGGCCCACTATCCCACTAAATAACTAATGCCAATTTCCGATGTAACGGGCTGTTCATTTAAAATTGTGGATAAGTGTTGATCCGGATAAAATGTCTGACTATAATAAGAGATCTGAATATGATAGGTGATGACTGAGAATTCTTGTTTACCAAATATTTTTGTATTAAGGCGCTGACTAAATAAAAATGACCATTATGCCCCTCCGTCCAGAGTATGTGTTGAGCATAAATGTTTTATAGTTAGTTTTAAATATTAATTATAAAACTTCATAATTCCATTTTTTTTTTAAATTCAAAACAGATTGGGCATAAATTGATGTGACATTTACTTGGATTATTAAATAAATTATCGAAAAGAATTGAATTTACTAATTACGACAGGTCATCTATTAAAACTCTAAATAAAGAAGCATATGGATTATATATATGGTAGTCAAATAAGAGGTGGTAAGAAGTTAGTAAACGGGTTCTAAGTTTCAAAGTACACACATGATGTATAATTTTTGAAGGTAGAATTTAAAATGGGTGTAGCAATGCCATAAAACTTAATATAGAAGAACGCCGAAAAAAAAAACTAATGAAATCATTGCCTAAAGAATAGTTGAAACAAACTCCTTGGATTATCTGAAATCTGAATACAAAAAGATTGAAGATCTGGAAAAAAAAAATACATGGTGGTTGTTTGACAGTTGTTGAATGGTTGTTGAAAAGTACACAGAAATAATATGACGAAAAACAAATTTCTTTACACCATACCGTGCATTCTCTCGAATCGCGGTAATTCCATGTCAAGTGTAGATGGATTTTGCATTGGTTCTCAAAAGAAGTCGCAAATTTTCTTTTCTTATAGCTAGATCTTTGGACGATCACAATTTGTCATTCTTAAAGAACTCACACAAACCCAAATGGAAAAACCGTATAAAATCGTGGCAAAACATATTCAAGGGGTGTATGAATATCACCTTAGCGAATTCACGGATTAATCGCTGTGAGACACTCATTTTGTGGGTTATCCGCGATCACGAAGAAGATGTTGAAGTCAGGGCCGATCCTAAGATTTTTGATGTCCTGTGCGAAAATAATAAAAAAAATGCCCCTAGCCCTATTTTTTTATGCCAAAGAAACATGCGATTTTTTAAGGAGTTTGGAACCTATTCAAGCTAAGTGTCTCATCCCCATGTTGTTTTTTTGTTAATTATATTAAAAAAATACAAGGGGAACGTAAAAACCAAAACCCCGAATACAAAATATAGAATGATAAAATGATAAATCTTGGATTAAGATTATGCTTCATTCTTTTCCAGTTTTTCCTTTTCCGAATTGAAAGTAGCAAACTAGAAACTTTATTTCAATATATATATGGGACTTAAAAGACAAGGAAAACTATAATTAATTTTTAATTAAAATAGTAAATTACATTCAAATTAATGTCATAGTAAGAAAAAAGTAAAAATCAAAAGTTACATGTCTAACGACTAAAGGCAAAGGGTATCTATTAGCAGCTTAATAAGTTTAATGGAATTAACAACTTATTCGCTCAACTATGCATGAATGTTTTGTAGTGGCTTAATGGTATAGAAAGTGACTTATCCAGTAAGCTTCTAGAGGGAGCTTTATATACAAAGCCAAGTTTTTTTTTTAAACATGTCCATTCCAACTAAAAAAAAGCTTCTTACGTCTATGGAAAAACTCTCCCAAACAAAAAAAATTCCGACTTATACAAACATATTAACCCATACAGACAAATTTATCCATAGGGAACTTGATAAAATAGCAATCAAATGGCCCCTAAATCTAATGCGGTAATGCCAAACCTTAAACTAAACAAAAGTCAAAAGAACAATAATAAACTGTAAAATTTATAATCTATGTTACTTGGCTTGCAAAGAACAAGTGCCTAATAATTAAGACAATATCACAGTATGTTGTTAATATTGTGTGCAGTGTGCCCTAGCTTTATTGATACAGTAATGTGCTCATGTGCATTGAAATTTCCATTCTCGGATATTTCAATATGCAAAAAGGAAGACTCATTATCAAAATGAGAAAAGCCCATTCGCCTTAGCATAGCAGGTTAGTAACCCATACGACCTAATGACCCAACTTTATAATAATCAGTTAGAAATTTAGATTTTTTTTTTGTAAAAAGATCTAAAGATTCATAAATCATAATATGATTCATACAACAACTCGGTAAGTTCAATCAACAGTAGTTCAATCAACAGTAAAAATCAGTCATTCGAGATTTCCATCTTTGATTTATTGAATCTAATTTTATGACCGTTAATCAGCTGGAAAGAGAACTTCATGCCTTGAAAATTGAAATATTTGAACTTTAAAAAACAATAGAAATTAGATTGAGTTGTTGGAATGATGGCATTAACCGGTTCACGATGTGCATTCAGTTTCATCACTACTAGTCATTGGGCCTGTTTTTATAGTTAAAGTTCAGTTGTTCAATTCTCATATTATTAAATCCAAACTAATAATAGATGACAACTTGATGCCCCTTTAGGCATTGATGCCCTGTACGACTGCACAGGTTGCACGTGACCAGGGCCGGGCCTGGTTGAAGTAGGGGGAGTGGCCAAGAGGGTAACAAATTAGAGCTATCTTGGTGGCTTCTGGTTGGACTTCTACAACTTTGCATAAAGGTATGTTTACTAAATTAGGTAGAGACATCCAAGCACGATTTCCACTTGTCTACGGCCCAATAATAAGAGATATTCTTGGGCTGAATGTTATTAAGTTAAGAGATGTTCTAGGGCTGAATGTTTTTAAGGCAATGGGTTATCGGGCTTATATCTCAAAAGTTTAAGTTTTACTGTTAGTCATATATATTTAACAAGGATGGTTCCTGATTGGTTTGAACTTGGCTTCAAAGGTCAAAAGTAACAGAAGGTTCCAAGTTCAAATTCAATAACTAATAAAAATCCTCTTGTGGCTACGGAGGTTCAAATGCGGTGACTCCAGGCTATTTACAAAGCAGGTGGTCGTTCTGAGATTAGTCGACTCACATAGCGGGTTGGATACTAAGGTTAATATAAAAAAAACTTGTAGTCGGTTTAGAAAAAGGAAAAAACTGCTAGCCACGTTTTTATGTAGAAACCTTAAAGAAGACAAAAAAAACCACTTGATTCATTGTTGTGGGAATTTATGTATATGTGGGAAATGGCGTTTCCTCTAATATCCTATAACCAATTTTATACAACCATAGATGATGTTCAGAAGCTCCACAACGACATCTCACCACCATACTCTGCTTCTTCTCCACCACCGTATGGTAGTGGTGGTGGTGGCGGTGGCAACATTAATCCCTCCGCCATATTCACCAGTAATCCCGGCATCCCAAACTCCTCCTCTTCGTCCATATACACCACCCTAGTACTTTCCTCATCAACTGGCCGGAACTCCTCTGCCCCCTGCACTGCCGCCTTCCGAATGTCGTTCGGATCCATTGACGCCGGAGTCGGAAGCCTCCATGAAGAGTCTGCAAAGTTCAAACACGCGGACTTCCCTCTCAAAGCCAACGCCGCCACGTCATGAGCTCTGGCTGCCATCTCCGCCGTGGGAAACGTCCCCAGCCATATCCTCGACTGCTTATACGGCTCTCTCACCTCACAAACCCACTTCCCGGAGCTCCTCTGTCTCACTCCCCGGTACACCGGATGCCTCGTCTCCTGAAACTTCTTCCTTCCGGCACGTTTCTTTGGATGACTAGATGCCAGCATCACTTCTTCCGACGACTCTCCACCCTCCATCGAACTAGACCCATCTACAAACTGATCATAATAATTGTTCATCTCCATTAAATTTGAAAACTAAACTTAACTGGGATCTGGAATCTGAATCTGAATTTGAATTTGAAAGTGAAAGCGAAGTTATATATGTTGGTGAGTGATGTTGGTTCCAAGTGGCAGATACATACATATATATATATATATATACACACACACATGTTTATATGTGTGTTTTGGGAGTGTGAGGGGATGCGCTATAAACACGGAGTCCGGTTAGAGTATGAGTGAGCAGACTGAAAGGGAAAGAAGGTATCTGATTAAATTAAAATTAGAAAAACAAAAATGGATAACGTTTTAAGCAACAGCTGTTTCAAAAACGGGGCCTACTTTCTTTGATTGGTATAACACGTGTGAGTTGTGTGTTGCCTGAATATCACCTTTTTATTTATTTACTTTATATTTAATAATCATGTCTCTTGTACGTTTATTTATATGAAACATTTGGATCCCTAATTCCTTTCTAGAAAATGTAAGACCATCTTTATGAATGTCCACATCATTTCCTTCAAAAACATATCAACATCTACATATACGTGTACGTATACATATACATGTATGTATACATATACATATACACATGGCTTACACCAAAATATACATCGATGTTAATGTTTTGTTTTATTATGTATCTATCCATGTTTTAATACGATTTTTATATGGTTTTAAGAAATTGATAATATGTTAGATTTTTTTAAGTAATTAAGTGATCTGTTAGAACTTAATAATTATACTAATTATATGTTACATTTTTTTTAAATAATATGCATTAATAAACAGTATTTTATACATAAAAATAATTTTTTAATAGTTTTTATCAGATGTTTTATAATATATAAATATATATAAAGTGGAAAACATCGAAAATATAAGCAAACTTTGCGAAAGAAATTACACTTGCACAAAAAACTTAAGCATTTCATTTATTTCATTATTAATAATATTATTTCTTAGGGGTGAACATAGGCCGGTACCCGTCTTTTTTTACAGGAACTAGAACCGGCGGTTCTTGAGATATTGGAACCGGAACCGGAACCGGTTGAAGCGGTTCTTGAATTTTTGGAACCGGAACCGGAACCGCCGGGACCGGTTCCAGTTCCGGTTACCCGCTTCCTAAAATATTAAAATTTTGTTATTTAGAAATAAAAATAAAATATTGCCAAAACACTAAATTAAAGAAACAAGAATACAAATTATACGGAGTAATGGTTACAAATATTGTTTTAATGATTACAAACCATAATAGACTAATAGAAAATGTTCAAAATTTAATGATTATATAATATAATTATAAATGTTCAAAACTTAACGATTACATATTACGAACTGTAGTTTAGTAGAACTAGAAAGTAGATGAAGAATGAAGATGATCGCGTCATTTGAAGATGTAACCTAATATAAATTTGGTATTGAAAAAAATTAATTATTTTTTTATTGAAAAACAACCGTCGGTTCCGGGTACCCGGCGGGTAACGGTTCCCAAAAACTGAGAACCGGAACCGTTCTCAATCGGTTCCGTATTTTAGGAACCGGAACCACTCATATCGGTTCCAGTTCCGGAACAGGCGGTTCCAAGGCGGTTCTGGTTCCGCAAATGGGTACCCGATTCTGCTGCTCACCCCTATTATTTCTGATGCATCTTTCATAATAACAAAATCGGGTTTATAGTACACTTCCGATTTCTAAGTGTTCTGATAGATCTCTTTATAAGGCTTAGTAATAAGTTTATATAACGTTTTTTGACGTCGTAATAAGTATTTTAGGATATTTTTAAAATAAAATGTCTCATTAGCAACTTTATAGGATACTATTTGAAAATTTGTTCTATAAAAAATTGAGTTTATAGGACACTTTTGAAGTTGCTAATGCGACACTTTGTATTAAAAATGTTCTAAGAAAATTGCTAAGACGTCCAAAAACGTCATATAAACTTATTATAACACATTTACATATGACGCTTTATATTTTAATCCTATAAATTAATAACTATAAAGTAGTTTATTAAGACACTTAAAAATTGAAGGTGTCATATAAATCCAATTTTATTGTAGTGTTTTAATTATATTCATATTTTGGTTAATAATATATAAATTGTTGGGGATTTGAAAAGCTAGTGTTGACTGTTGACCCTGATGTGGGAAATGAATTTGGCACCAAAAGTTATGAATAAGATTTGAGCAGGAAAAAGACGGCAATGTGAACGTAATAAAATATTACTTATGGATTTGACTCATACAAATGGTAGACTGGTAGAGTGAAGAAGGTGTGGGAGTATATATATATATATATATTCTCATTCTTTTCAATAATTTTAATTTATTGTTTTATTTCTAAAATTAAATTTCACTTTTGGTCCCTAAAATTTAATGATATCTTTAAAAATGAAGCATATATTTTAATAAGTGAAAAAGTATGTTCTTTAGGTTTGGATTTTGTTTTGAAATAAGACCTGGTCATTAACTTTGGCTATTTAGGCTGGACTTGAAAGTTGCATTGATTTGAATTTGGGAATAACTCCTACAGAAATTTAGGAAAAAAAATGTTGGAATCTTGAAAGATGGTAGTTGCTTCTTCACTCTTCGATTAGGTTTGACAAACTAGCTGGTGGTTGATAAATCATGTTTGATAAAAACTAACTGATGAAAAAATATATAAGATGACCAAAAACGGGATCTTAAAAAATAATCAATTATATTATTTCAAAACTCAATTGAAACAAATCTCTAATAAGATAAGATATTAACTAATATAACAAGATGGTAAGAAAATTAAAAA